AAGTAACACGGATAATGGTAACGAACTTGATTCTGATACACATAATGGCAAGTACCTATGCAATGAACCCTCGTTAGTGCGAATTCGGAGAAACTCGAAACTAGTAGTAGTAGTAGTAGTAGTAGTTCATGAAGGTTTAACTCGAGAAGGATTTGTGGCGTTGGATGACTCGAGCTAACGAGAGTTTACTGTATCATGCAATATCGGCTTACAAAATTACTCCTTCCTCCTTTCAGCAATTGGAATTTCTGTCAAAGCATTGATTATACGGTCGTCAAAATTGCTGAAGGAAACGGGAAATTTTTTCTTATCCCCTTGAATTGCGAAACAACGTTTAAACCCTGTAAACATGTAACTTCACTCGAGTGGCAGGCTCGAGGAATCCGACTCGATTGCCTCCATCCACGCTAATTCGAGAAAAGCGTCGACGTTACTCAGCAATGTTAAAGTAAAGAACAATTAAGACAGTCAGCCATAAAGTTCTGCTTAATCCTTTCAGTATCTCTGCACCGTATATTGCACGTCAATTTTCATTATCTACCAAGTATAAAAGATTAAATTTTATTAATAATTTAGAATTGCAGTTTATTAAAAGTTTGAATATTAATAATGTCCATTAAAACCGTGAAAATTGATTTGAATATTATCTTTTGCTATCACTGTTATATTGAGAGATTTACAGATTATTAATTTAATGTTCGTACTGAGAACCAATAAAGTCGAAAGTAGAACTAATAAAAAAATTAACAAAAAGCACAATTACTGTTGCAATATTTATATCGAATTTGGTACTGAAAGGATTACCTTAATGAATTTCCGACATAGATTTAGTAACTATTAATAATGCATCCCTAAGGGAAAGAATCTAAAATAGCATTCTAAAATTTTTCCAACACTTAAAAAATGTATCTTATCTCGATAAATAATTAAAGGAAAACTCTTAACGCAATGCGTATCTCTCAATATCAAAATGCAAACGACTTAACTTTTTTGCGCACTATTGCACACAGTATTTATTTGGCATTATAGATAATTCCTTGAGCAAAAGCGAAAGGTACTAGATTTTCATCGAGGACTATAAAGGGGAGTTACGTACGACGAGTTTATTATAATAGATTTTTTGAGACCGTTCGTTCGTCGTTCATTGGCTACTCGATCTCTAAATAGTATCAAACTCGTATGTTCTGTCATTAATAGATACTTTTACATAGAAACGATTTGAGAATCGTGACGCAACATCGGCAATATCATAAACAATCAAAACAAAAAAAAGACACAAGTAACAATAATTATTCAATAAATAAATCATTTAAACGTGTGGCATCAAAACACAACTTTACTCGCTAATATAGAACAATCGTTAATAAAAAATATAATATAATATATACCGAAAGACTCGTCGAATCTTTCACGACCATCCCGTTAACGGAGGCTTTTTCTTGTTTCTTCCCGATTCGCTGGAATCGCATCCCGTCCCGAACGAACGATCGGCGATTGTTGACTTAGATCAGTTAAAGTAAAGAACAATTAAGACAGTCAGCCATAAAGTTCTGCTTAATCCTTTCAGTATCTCTGCACCGTATATTGCACGTCAATTTTCATTATCTACCAAGTATAAAAGATTAAATTTTATTAATAATTTAGAATTGCAGTTTATTAAAAGTTTGAATATTAATAATGTCCATTAAAACCGTGAAAATTGATTTGAATATTATCTTTTGCTATCACTGTTATATTGAGAGATTTACAGATTATTAATTTAATGTTCGTACCGAGAACCAATAAAGTCGAAAGTAGAACTAATAAAAAAATTAACAAAAAGCACAATTACTGTTGCAATATTTATATCGAATTTGGTACTGAAAGGATTACCTTAATGAATTTCCGACATAGATTTAGTAACTATTAATAATGCATCCCTAAGGGAAAGAATCTAAAATAGCATTCTAAAATTTTTCCAACACTTAAAAAATGTATCTTATCTCGATAAATAATTAAAGGAAAACTCTTAACGCAATGCGTATCTCTCAATATCAAAATGCAAACGACTTAACTTTTTTGCGCACTATTGCACACAGTATTTATTTGGCATTATAGATAATTCCTTGAGCAAAAGCGAAAGGTACTAGATTTTCATCGAGGACTATAAAGGGGAGTTACGTACGACGAGTTTATTATAATAGATTTTTTGAGACCGTTCGTTCGTCGTTCATTGGCTACTCGATCTCTAAATAGTATCAAACTCGTATGTTCTGTCATTAATAGATACTTTTACATAGAAACGATTTGAGAATCGTGACGCAACATCGGCAATATCATAAACAATCAAAACAAAAAAAAGACACAAGTAACAATAATTATTCAATAAATAAATCATTTAAACGTGTGGCATCAAAACACAACTTTACTCGCTAATATAGAACAATCGTTAATAAAAAATATAATATAATATATACCGAAAGACTCGTCGAATCTTTCACGACCATCCCGTTAACGGAGGCTTTTTCTTGTTTCTTCCCGATTCGCTGGAATCGCATCCCGTCCCGAACGAACGATCGGCGATTGTTGACTTAGATCTCATCGGATGCATCGTGACTGGTGTGAGTGACTTCCTACTTTTTAGCAAAAATAAGTATCGTGTTACGCGTTTACAACATCGGTCCACGATGATCCCCGTACGTAAGATAAAGCGAGAGGGCCCTCTCGCTTTGTGTCACGTGTGTGTCAGTGCAGCGAAGCTCTCTTTCTCTCGCGGTTTTTCTTCCTTCCTTGAGCGACGTCCGTCGGTGGCTCAAAGAAAGGGGCGCGTAACAAGCTTTGAAATACCTTGTAAGCCGGCTACACGCTACAGCTACATACTGCCTATAAAGCCTTAGACCAGCGGCGAAACGATATTTATAACCACCAACGTCCTGACACGGGCCGGGTGCCATATGAAATTTTCCATTCTAGCGAACCGTCAAATTTGAAATGTGATAGACCCTCGGTAAAACCGACCAAATAAGGAACTTGATCATTGAAGGTATAATAAATCGATGAACTCTATCATTTTCGAGTAAATCTATACTCGAGAATTAAATTGCATTTTAAGAAATTAAAGGTAAATTTTGACACGTTGTAGTCGAAAGAAAACTGTTGAGTATTCTAAAAATGTATCCAATTGATATAAAAACTAAACGTAACATACATCAATATTATATTACTTTTCTATCGACTATATACGATGAAAGTTTTTATTTGTGTAAACGCTTTATAAAATTGAAACGTAAAAGCCGGGCGATGCCATTTTATGAGATTGGCAATGTCGCACAAAGCTAAAAGACACTTTAATCTTTTTCTCAATGTGCGTTAATATACTGTTAATCCCTCCCAGGTTCTACAGATCTCTTTTAAACGCCTTTTCGGCTGGCCGCGAAATTGGATTGGGAAAACATCGTTTCGTCCGTCTCAGACTTTTCACCGTGCGCATTCGCGCGCTCTGACTTTGTAGTAATTGTCAGGTACAGTGCTCGTCAACGATACCTTCGTGAATTGGCACATAAAACACTACTCTAGGCAGCTGAATGGCCGTGGATTCACCGAGAAAAAGCCGTAGTCGTTAATCATTTACTAATTGTATACGTAATCTCGACGAGGCGGCGGCAGCCTTTGATGCGATCGATCGATGAGAAGCAGTGTACCTTGTGGGTGGAGGAGTGTGTGTTGCGATCTTGGATTATCGCCGGCAGAAGTTGCGAGTAACTTACGTGCTAGTACTTTGGTAAAACAGTTTTCGTATCCTCTCGATCAACGTCGCCCTCTGTATACGCTTCCTTATAGGTATATATGCGTCGCTCGACGACTTCCATTAAGAGCTAATTAATTCGATCTAATTTAAGGACTATCTTTGGACGTTTGGCTCTGTCGCGCAGGGCCGCCACTCGACTTTGGTATTTTGTTTCTATGTTTCGCGATAATAACGATTCGGCCATTCTTACCTCCTCGAAGAAACCGAAGTGTCGCTGTCGTTTCCAGGTCGCTATCAGGTCTCGTCCGATCTCGAACATCGCGAAAATGATGTACCTTGACAATTTGAAGTAAGAGAGAGAGAGAGAGAGAGAGAGACTATGTAGTTCATTAGAGCGCTAATTAAGCCTTAAAACACAGGTTTAAACATACAAAATTATGCCGTTATATGTGTAATTTTCGGAATAAAGAAATATAAATATTACTATATATCTTCAAAGAATTTAGTTACTCTGAAGATCCATCATGAGTTTATTTTGTAAGAAATCTCGTGAAAGAAATATTTATCCTGTAAGAATTAAAAATCTCGGCATTCCTTTTTCCTCATAATTCTTTATCTTGATCTTTACTTCCACCTTTCATCTCCAAAATCTCTTATTATCACGAGCTAATGTTGATTCTACGTGAATTAAAGTTTCCTTCTTCACACTTTATCTTGATTATCTCTCATCCTGATATCTTATAAGAAAAATGTAGATAATTCTATATAGAATCGTGGTGTTAGCCTTTCCTTTCTATTATTTATCCTTCTACCATCTCTTTATCTCTATACTTCCACTTTCCTTTCGTATTTTTCACCTTTTGATGACGTTTCAGCTTTTGTCTATTGCACGTTCATTTTCCTACTTCAACGCTCCTTTTAGGAGCTTGGAATAAACGAGAAACGCAAACAGGCGGATTTAGCGGTCTAATGTTGTACACATACACTTCTCTAAGAGATTCTCTTACAAGCGATCCGCGATCGAACGCCATCTCCTCGAGGATACGACCTGCTCATTGAACCGACCTGCCAGGAGTTTCGGGATTTCGTGATCGATCTCGCACTAAGGAGCGACTCCTTCCCGATGATCCATCGAGTGGCGGATGCACTTCCCCCAGCGCAAATGCGAACGCACGCGGAAGTGCATCTCGCTCCTCTCGGCGGCCCTTTGCTCCCCCAGCTACGTATAATGCTCGCAGTCCCCACACTCGGAGAGCGTGGGTGTGGACGGACACTAGGTGGGATTCGGATCTTCGTACGCCTTCTCGTAGTCCCGTCGCCGTATCACCGCGAAGTGGGTCATCTGGAAGGAGTTGGTCTTCTTGCAGCCGCGCTCCAGGGTGCCCGTCATACTGTAGCCCATGTTGAAGTCGCTCGACGAGACGTTCGACGTCAGGTACAGCTGTAACAGGGCGGCAAGCAAATCGATACGATATCACTGCGTTGCCCTCGCACTCACACACGAAACTCCAGAAGAGTTTCCTGCAGTTTTTTTTCTGTAGTACATACTTATTCCCGGCTGCTATTACGTCAATAATGGTAATCTTAACCTAAATAATACACGCACGGAAAGAACGCTTTTTCCTGAAGTATCTAAAAATTTAGCTAGATACAGAGATCTGAAAATAATTTTGTTCACTATCAAAACAATTATGCAAGGCTCAAACTTATTGTTAGACTTTCGAAACTTTTTGTGGCATTATTTATGTTGAATTTTTGTATCTAGTTAAATTTTAGATACTTGTCAAATGCTGCAGATAGTGTTCTTTCCGTGCGTATACATATATAAAAATCTTAATAGCAAATTAATAATGTTACATTAATATAGTAATATTAAATGAATAACAAAGTTTAGCTATATTTTTTAATGTGTGTTTTTAAATGCGTCGGTATTTCTCTTAATGAATGTACAGTTACTTCATTTTACACATAAAAAGGCGCGGCTAAAACCATTCGTCCAAATCCTTTAGTCAGACTGTTTGTAATTAAAAGTTAACCAGTTAGGGAAAAAAAATGACCACAAAGTATATCTATGTTAATTAAAACATCCCAGAGCTTTTTTGGCAAACGCAACTGGTACTTTCGTTATTACTGGAGATAATAACGGACGCAGTCCGACGAACTTCAATGGCAGATCATTAGAACCCGGACAAGCTCGCGTCTGTCGATTTAGAGTATGGCGCTGGCCATGCCTGCAGTCCTTTATGCAGGCCAGCTCTCCATCAAAATTGCATATGCGACCGTTATGGCTGACTGTTGGCGCGCAGACACGTGTTACTCTCCGACAGCAGCAGTCGCATTACACATTCCAGTACGTTTGACGAAACGCATAAGGAGCGTGTATACAAGTTGCGGCTTTCATGTTTTCAGCGTAGTCGTAAAACCCCGCGGCAGCTATGCGACTCCCTCGTCGTTTACTCGCAATGGCATCTACTTTAGGCATTTGGGGAATAAGTGCGTGGCTATCCGAGCTCTTTCCTTCGCAAAAAAAGTTTGCACTCGACGCGAATCCTCTCCAGACAGCTCGATAAATGTCGCGAAAACGTGTGCCCGAGGCGTGCTATATCAACATACATATTCACGCGAGACGCGTCGACGACTTTTGTCAGCCGACAGTTATTCCCCCTTCGAGATTTTAGACTATTTCGCACATTTTTCTGTATTTAATTTTTTTCTTCGGAAGTAGTCACTTGATTTTTTTTCTACGTAAATCATCTGGGATGTTTTTACAATTAAAATTACTGTTGTTAACGTCATTAATTGTTTCCGATTTATTGATATTTGAAAACATTATGGATATGGGCTTATTCACAATTTTCAAAAAAGTACAAAAAAACTGAAAAAAATTTTTTTTTTAAATAACCACATTAAATTATTATTTATTATGACAGTATTTAAAAAAAAATTGATATTTTAATTAATATAACTTTCTTATTGTGGATTTTCAATGAAATGGCATATTTAAAGGTTCGTAAAGAATAGTTAATAAAAAAGAAAGAAAATGTATGAAACAATATATCCATACAAAAGTAAAAAATATTTTCAATTCACATTTTCTTGTCGGTGGAGTATGAAGATACCCCAGGTGACTATCTCCAAGTTAAAAAAAAAAGAGGAGATCAAGCTTAAATGTGATAAAAAAAAAAAACAAAGCGTTTCCGATGCGTAAGAATACGGTATTGTAATTTGTAACGATGGGGGACGTGACGTGTATTCTCGGTAAAAAGATTAACGACCGTTACATCGTAGAATATTTTTCTGCGTACGGTACCCACACCAGCGTGATTATGACGGTAAGCGAGCGCGACGTAATAATACCTAGTGATAAATTCGATAACCGTTATTTCGCGTGTTTGATGAATATGAAATTTATCATCGGGAAATACCGCAGCGTCACATTCTAGCGTGTTTCCTCGGCTGTTTTGCATATTCTCGGCGAGATTTATATGTGTTTTTTTTTTCTTTAAACCAGAGCTTACGATCTTATTAATTCATATGGTCGCGCGACCGGGACGGACATCCGTGAACCGGGATTCTTCAATTTGTTTGCAGAAAACGCGCGCGACCTGTTTCCGTAATCGTGGAAACGGGAACGAACGTCCGCGCGCGCGCGCACGCGTTACAACGTGCAGCGATATCAAGTTTTCCACGCGCGCATTGTCGTATATTTATTTAATTATCGTCTCGCTGCTACCCTCGGCTCTCGAGATAGAAGCATCTAAAAATTGCACGCGCGCATTTAGTGAGAGATACCTTTTTATGCGAAAAGACGAGGTAGAGATACGTTGATCACGTCGCGATGTATGAATGCGTTGCCGGTGCGAGCGAAAATATCACGGAGACAAAATTTTTCGTAATCCGACAATCTGCAGATTAGCCGAGGCGGACTGCGAGCTTCCGATATAACGTCTGCGTCTGGTGCATCGTTTAGGAGGATTGTGCCCCGCCTAACGTTCTTTCAGCGAAATAAAAAATTATAATTAGGGTAATATAAAGTATAATTTAAATTTATGTATTGGATTCTATTGTTTGAAGAATTAACTGTTATCCTTGTAGCATGAATTACATATTTTCTGTGCAAATAAACATACATAGATAAACACGAGTGAAAATAGATATAATAGATGCACTACCGCTCAATAGTTTCAGCACTTTCTCCGTTTATGGAAATTTCGTAATATATGGTAAAGAATAAAATATGAATATATTTACATGCATTATGTTTGATTTATTATTGCATATTTTTATTAATATTAGAAAGAACTAATTTTTTGGATTTTTACTTTTTCAAGCTTTTTTTGGTAACAGAAGCCATACTCATGTTAATTCTGCGTGTCGATAAATTCTTTAAGTGTTTTAATTAAAGATTTTAGTGTTTCATTTGGCGCTTAATTTCCGCAAGAATATTGTTTTCATACTACTTTCTTATTGTTATTCGTGACACCTACATATTTATCGGAATCGAAATAGCGCAAAATTGAAATCAATATTTCTTCTAATCAGTATATATAATATATGATTTGTCTATTTAAGAAATATAAACTTGTAGTTTTCGTTTATAATTATTTTGCAATAATTCGCGACCCTATTAAATTCTTTTGTGACTAAAAATAAGAAAGTATGTTATATCAAACTTTATATTTTATGTCAATATGGAAAATGGAATTGCAAAAACTTAAGACGCGCTGAAACTTTTGAACAGTAGTATATTAAAAGAATAATATATATATGTATATAACTTTATGATTTCAAAATAATTTTGATTTAAGGTGAAAATAGCGGTTTGGGAAAATACGACGCATTATAGTTTTCCAAAAGATTGTTCACCTACGAAGCACAACAAAAGACGGATTTATTAATTAATAAAACGTATTAACACATTACGATAGGAAACTATATAGTAACTTATTATCTATTTTATTAATAGCAATTGTAAAATTTTAAAGTTGTATATATTACAAAGTTGTATATATTTTGTGTATTAGTAGATTATTTTGATTAATATAGTAAAATTAATTGAACTTAAACTTAAAAAAGTTATAAAGGAAATATTTAGTAAATTTAATTATATGTACCTTAAAATCGGGATCGATAGTCATCCTCTTGAATGAACCGATAATATAAAGCGTGCCCGTACCCGTGTCTACCATCTTCGCCTGAGTACTATACCTGAAACACAATCACGATTTTCTGAATTGAAACCTTATGACCAATAACATTTTTTGTACGATGTAATCGATTTTAAGCCGACAGAAAAATCCATGGATAGAAAGAACGATGGGAATCTGGAACGCGTCCTATCCGAGAAGAAAGCAATGTCGAAGAAAAAAAAAGCGTGATCGATTTTGATACATCGAGTATAAGCAGAGAGCAATCAGTTCATCGTCTTTAGCTCTTGTCCGCTTTTCGTTTTAACGTCCTTTGACATAGTAATTCTTACGAAGAAGATTTCAGTACACCCTCGATTCTTATCCTCTGTCCTGAATTGTACTACGCAAGGGTGTCAAAGCATTGTGTATGCTTACAAAAGCCATTCGTAAGATAGATTCTACTGATTGTTATTTTTCTGAAAAATTCACGAAATCTGTTTATATTACGACGGTAGTAAGACTGAAGCTATTTAATTCTTAATTATTTTAATTTCTTTAATAATTAAAAGTATTCTTTATACTTTTCTTTACTAATTAAAATTATTAAAGAAATATTTTGTGTAACTTATATTAATACTACAATCTTTTGTGTTAGTATAAAATCATTATTGAACGGTAAAAGTTTTTGATGTATTTGAATTTTGGATGTTAATTTGGAATTTTTGAAGGTCATGAACTATCTTGAATGCACATTGTTAAATTAATTGATGATTATCGCTGACTATAACGTGCCATGTCTTTAGGCAACGCTGTGATCTCCATCGAAGCGATAAACGGAGGGGAAGTCATAGAACGGGAATGATTGACGAGACGAAGGGAAATTTCACTTGACTGACGAGAGACGTGGCCTTTTAATATAATAGAGAAAGGGAAAAAGAGTACGTTAAAGTACATATTTCAAATTTTATAATGATATTTATTATATTTTTGTATAATTATTACAAAAAATTTGTTATAAGAAAACAGACATTTTTTATATTAATAGATAATATTGATGAAGTAAATATAGATAGATATATACAATATCATATTATACACGCATTTATAATATTTATGAAAAAATACTATTTGTTCAAATCTTTTCTAAAATTATAATATGTATACGTTACATATAAAAATTTCGCATTAAAACTATGTTTACTCTCTTATATTTCAAGAATTTAAAAGATATACATTTTTATGAAAAAGATACTTCTTCTCTCTTTTCCTCTCTTTTAAATATAAATTAAGTAATGGTATATATATATACACAAACAAAAATAATAAAAATATGAAATTAAAGAATTCTATTTAGAAACTTTCAAGAAGAAGGAAAATCTTTTTCCTGCATAAAGAAAGTGAACGGGAGACGGAAGAGGGGGAGGCAGTAGAGTTCACCAACACCCGCATGATAGACTCGAGGGGCTTATTCCGGCGGAGATACCTCTCGAGGACCGGCGACGGTCATTAAAAGTTTAAACGGCTTCCATTGAGGTGAACGGCAGTAGATCCGACACTCGGCTCGAACCGTCGTGCTGGTTGCTTTGATTTTCCCCGGCTTTCCTCAAAGGGCAAGGGAGTGCAAGGGAAAATCCGAACCATCGAAGAAAGGCACGTAGACGTCACTTCTTAGCGTTTACGCACAATACGGGCATAGTAGATAGTGACGTTGTGTACCCGTGATGTAAATACACACCTCGAGGACGTTTTTCGACTCTCGATCTCTCAACTTTGACGTTATCGACGATTTCGTACAAAGTACTTTTAACATATATATGTATGTAACAACTAGCAGCGTACGTTCGAATGTTCAAAATTAATGTCTGTTTATTAAAAAGAAGATTAAATGCTTTTTATTTATAATGACGGTTGTGTGTATCAAGAAGGTGGCATGTAATATTATAAATAATAATTATACATTGAGTGTTTATCAATTGAAAGAAGAAATTAACATGATAAGGTTGTAATGAGAATACTTTTTGAGGGATAAGTATCAATTAGCTTGAAGAAAAAATAAACTGAAAGTGAAATCGAATGTCAATTAGCAATATCACGAACTCCAATCAGCGACGATAGTTATGTTGATAATTAATGTACATTAGTGGTTATATTATCGATACCCTCGAGATATTGTTTGCTTTCTAGAGCATGTATTAGCTTATTATCGATAAATTGACGAGCTCATTGCGACATATTTGTCGAGTATCCCCAATCGGTTTGGATTTGGTTGCAGTCGATTGCATCGCGTGAGAGGTCGAAATCCTGGATGAAGATAAATGGGTGAGATTTCCTCGACCAACGAGCAGATTGAACTGTCGTCGCGTTTCAACCCGTCGTAAAAGCTTTTGTTGACCGAGCAATGATGAGGATCGCTATAAAATAGTAATTTTTGGGGATCAATTGGATTTCGATAACTATCTCGATGTTCCAACGTGAGATTGGTAAAGTTTTGTTGACCGAGCAACGATCGAAGATTAGAATGAAGTAACAATCTCCGAGATTTGAGTCGGCTTAGGTGTAGATACCTCCTCTAACCATGAGAATTTTTGTTGACCAAGCAACGAAGATTGAAAATCCGAGTAACGACTTTCGATATCTCAGGTGACTTCTATCTTAGTATATTTCAATCGTGAAAATTTCTATTGACCTAGAAACTACCTGAATCCGAACGTCTTTCTGCGAGAATCGAACAGAGATTGAAGTGAACTGAACAGTCGACCAAAGTACATAGTTGGAATAATACGGTTTGTATCCTTGTCAGAGAATAACGCGAACTGTACACGTGTCCACGGATAGGGGCGTGGGAATTGATTTGTACGGCTAAGAGCCGTCATACCATGTGTTTACTAAGACGTGCAGCCTGGTTCTCGTAGCTCGGTTACTATTGCGAAGCCAGGAATACAGGCACCACTCCGTAGCAGAGCCGAGGGATATTTAGACAAGTTCGGTTGTCTTCGCAAACTCCGTCCGTCCGAACCTACGGAGACGTTTACGCCACGCTAAGGATGCCTCCGAAGTCAATTTTGACCATGCATTAATCGGTGGATGATTCGTATACGGATACAGCAAAGCCTTCAGTACGAATTTTCTCGAGCATTCTATCTTTGATATATGTAGATCAAGTTGTATAATACTTTCTTAATATTGATAGATATGTTTTTGTTTAAGTGCTTCTTTAAGAAATATTTTATTTGGAGGTTTTTTTATTCGAAATAATAAATTATATAATACTGTTAGATGTCTCAAAAAAGCAATGACAACCCGATCCTCTCTTTGAATTAAAATTAATAAAATTTTATTTTTAATTTCCATGTGTGTCGAAATGTAAATCAGTCTATATTCCTGGGATTAGTTTTAAAACGAACAACATCCGTATGCAATTAGTAAACAATAAACTAAATTTAAGTAAAAAGAACATTGCGCGTAATATTTTCGCAAGTAATTTTTTTTATAAAAAAAAAACGCGAGATAATTTCCACGAGGGTTTGAGGTACAACGTTCGATCCTAGGCGTCGTAAAGCATCGCGATTTTATCGCACAGGTCCAAAGCCTGCTTGCCGACTCGTCTCCACCTCTTCAAGATTTATTATGGCTCTCAGCATTCGAAGGAAGACAATGAGGGCGTCTTTCTTCTGCACATGCGCACGCGCACGATCGAACGAATCGCTATAAATCGCGAGCCCCTTATCGTCTTCGACCGCCAACTGGCGACCTTAACGGCGCCGAAATCTATGGACGTCGGGAAGTTAGACGGGCCCCAGTTTCCCAAAGTGATACGACTGCCGAGAGGAGAGAGGTCTCACCCTCACCCTATCCCAGTTATACAGTATTCCGCGTCTCCGTTCTTGCTGTCCTCCTTTATCCACTTTACGTACACAATGTGTTCCCATGAGCTCGTTATCTCGATATGGATAACGCGACGTGCATCTTGAACCATCAAGATTCGTGTAATACCTACTGTAAACACGGATATCGCATGATAATTGATATAAACGAACGGATAAGAATCGATAACTTGAAGCGGTAATTGACAGATAAAACATAAGACGCTTGTATACTGTTTCTTAACTATCAAAATTGTATTTGGTAGCACAACTGTAATTGAATAATAACTTTCTCACCTTCTTGTTCCAGCGACTTCAACGACCTTACACCGGCTCCGGCTCCACCAGAACGGCGTCAGAGTCCAGTAGGAACTACTCGCGCTTCTCGCCCAGCCCTCCTCGGGGAACAAAAGGACCTGCGACAAAGAGTGAGTCATGTTTTGAATATTTCATCGTCTTCCACGAAAAAATTTCAAACGTACTCGTAACGTCGAAAACACTGCTCTGTGAAACAAGTCTGCTGAAGTGAAACAAATCTCATTCTTATTTAATAGGACATATCGAGTTTATCGAGCGAACTGTGTGCTGATGCAATTTCGTTAATGCACTGTAATTGTCGTAATTATAATGTCTTTACTGACAAAATATGTCACATTAATTATGTGACTTGCTTCGTTGGTTTTATTCCCAGTTGAACGTATTTTGCTCCACCAAGCGCAGTTCTTTTTTCTCAGTAGGATAATAGAACGCGGAACGTCGATAGTAAGCTCGCTCGAGATGCTATAGCACTCTCAAATAAAGTAGACGGGATTGGGAAAAAGGCTTCGTCGGGACTTCTTCGCGGCGGCGCTTCGACGAGTTCGAGGCTTCGCGAGGAAGATTTGTTGGAGTTCCTCCGCAGTAGGAGGAGGACGCCTTCCCGTCGAACGTATCCCTCCGCGAGAGAAAAAAAAAACTCTCGACCTTCTTCCATCCCGTGCATCCCACCCCAGTGATCCGGTTTCCGCTCTTCGACTTTCCCGAACCTTGGCTATGTGACCGAAATATTGAAACCACACACCGAAGAGCTGTGTTTCTTCCTCCCTCTCGCGCGCGATAAAGAGGGAAAAACCGTCGCATCGTGTCTTTCTCCTCCTACGGATCCTTCGCACGCGATACAGACATCCGTCATCCCGAGGATTTTCTATGCCATAAACGTGGATAAATCGCTCTTTAATCGGTACATATATTTTACGAGAAATATTGTTGTTCTCCTTTCGCTTGACAGTTTGGCAGAAACGGGTGGATTGCGTGAAACTTAGTTCGCCTACATTCAAATCGATTCGATTGCCGATTTCTATTATTGACAAAGTTGTAAAGATCATGATGAAACTAAATTTTCATAATATTCATAACTCCTCTCCAAATTTCTTGGCGTAGAGTTTCATTCCAAAAGAGTTAAAACACTGCCACTCTATATTCAAGAATGTAAATTTTTCATTCTTTTTCAATAGTGACAGTATTTTAATTCTTTTAGAGTGGTATTTCCTTCCAAAAAATTTAGAGAGTATTATATGCACCATCTTTCAGTATTTGAAATTAACAATTAGCTCCATAAAATATTAATAAAGTAATGTTATTCCAGAAGCTATGCGAAGTTCCGCTCTTCCGCTGCAAATCCAATACTAAATCACATACCAAGGCAAATATTTCGCTTTATCAACATAAACCATTTTGCTTCTTCATTACTATTACCTGGCATCTGCAAAGCTCCCTTGGCAACAGTTTTGCTGGCACCCCAAATATTCCGCGAGATAACCGTGCATTTCCGTCGAAATTACGATACGTCGTAAATTGCCATCTGTCAGCAAGAATGCACTTTCTTCTTCCCTCGAGCTATATGAGAGTGAGGGTAACGAGACGTGAGAAGAACACACGGAAAAGTCGAAAAGATGAAGAGTTGGAAGAGCTGCTCTCGACGATTGGATTCCTCTCTTTTCTCCCTCTTTTTCGGGTTACCACGAGATAGTTCGTTGCCAAAATTTCTTGATTCGCCGTTCCGGAACAGCGGAACAGTCGGCGACATTCTCTGAGAGGGAGTGAGAGAGGAGAAGAGGGGGAAGCGCGATTTTATCGAATCTCGTGGAATTGCATTCCAGCCACGTAAACGGGAATATCGAGATTCAGATGAACCTCCACTTCGTTCCTCCCTTCCCCCATTCCGATACGAGTCGAGAGTGGTGCAACAAATTCACGATTAACGTCCGTTCCCTGCTTTTTTTTTTTCTTTTATTTCTTCCATCCTCGTTTCCAATAGTAGCCAAATCGACGCGTGATAATCAAACGATCCTCAGAACTATATTAGATTTTGATTCGCCGAATGCGCCAATCTACAGATAATGTTATGCAAAACTGAGTTTGATTTTTCAAATATTAATTTTGATTACATTATAAAAACTATTTTCACTGTTGCTGATTTTATGTAGAAATGAGTTTCGTTAAATTAAATTTTCCATCCATTTCTCATTTCAGCTGTGTACATAATTCGGTTAGATCGATTTATGGAACCGTGTGCTTTTTACATTTAAATGTCAGCTCAAAAGTACATATTTCTACTTCGAGCTCAGTTGAAATAAATTACGATAACGTGTACGCAAACAAATATCCTTTGCTGGACTTTAATATATTAAAAATTCAAAGTTTCATGTTACTGAGTTAACCTCGTTTCCCGAAGTTTCCCACGTTAGTTTTTCCAACTTTTGCATAGCATTGCCCGTATATGACGATCACACGGTGAAACCAAGCACATTTCTGCAACGCGGGTAATCTATCCCGCGGCCATAAAGTATGTATAAAACTGGAATTACAATTCGCGATAGACTGGCGCAATTATTCGCTTGCTCGCCAATCAAATTCACATGATTACGTTTGCAGTGTCGATGCTCCTGTTCTCTTTCTCTTGATTCGATACCGCAGCAACCAATCGAACGTGCTTCACGGTCGAGTTTACTGGTCTTTAATGATGTTTCACGAATCATCGAATCGCATTAGTCGGAATAGCAAGTCCGCTTTCACATCCATTTGGTGAAATATACGTTATTTAGCATTTTATGTTGCGGGTGTTATATCATAATGATCATACTTGGCTCGACTATTATGATGCAGTCTTTTATCATATATTCTGCTATTTTGTATATGATTAATTAATTCAGTCTGAATTATTGATTTTAATTGTAGTACTTTTTCATTCTCCGTTTATTTGTTATTAAAACGTAATAAGGGTAGTTTACGTATTAAGGTTTGCTTCAGAATTGACTTAAGTTGTGTTCAACGTAAATGGCTTATAATTCAGTTCTCCTCGGAAGAAACTTTAATACAGTTAGACAGTAATTGAAAGCTTTAAAGAGACGACCAAAATAAAAACGCAAGATCAACGTTTACAACTCTCGGATTTTTCTTGAGTCAAAGTTTATCGAGGTATCAGGTGGAAACTGATTGAAGCTTAAACTGGCTTTTTAATTCTGACCGAGAAACGTCTTAACTCAGCAATTACTTGTATATTGCATCGGATAATACTGAATGACGCGCCAATATCTGCCTTTTTGCTGCTTTAATAATAAGCAAGGATCACACACGAATCTCGCAATTTCCGCTTTCGATTCGAGCTCTCGAGTACGGGTAGATCGTAAGGGCGAAGTCCGAACAAAGTAAAATAAAAGTAAACGACCGTGCACGCGCGCACGGAGTGGAGCAAAAAGAAACAACCGCGACTGCTAAGGGCTGTGAATAAGGGTGGAATACAAACAGCCAAAGGGACGAAGGACGGAATTTCTCGGCCAAAGTTTCCGCGCTCTTTTCCTCCATCTATTTTTCTTTCCGACCCCTTTTTTTCCGTTTCTCTTCCGTAATTTTCACCCGTACATATTTCGTAATTCCAGAACGCGTACCTGACCTCAAAAAGACTGTTTATTGTTTATTAAGGACATTATGGACTTTTTCCTTTTTGGAACGAATAAATAAATTCACAAATTATCGATTAAATTTTAACAGAGAAATTGGTAAAAGCTATACTATGACAACGGAAATGCTTTTCAAGCAGCACCCATTCATTCAAATAAGAGAATAGGGACACTTTTGCGTATGCTTACATTATAAATGTGACAATTATAGAAACATGTCAGCCACAATTGCAATCCTCCTTTCTCCACCGCAGAAGAACAATCGAACAAATTGAACCAATTCTCGCGGATCGGAAACGATCAGAAAGCGGTCGCGGGCTTGCGTAATGGCTGCCCTTTCCTGTCGAACATGCAAATTTATCGGCGTTCAAACACCGAAGCGCCCGGAGGCGGACAATTTGTGCATTAACGATTCCAATTGCCCGTTCGTAGTTATGGTTTCCTTTTTTGCTGAATGGAAACCTTTTTCTGTCTTGTTTATGTCGTTTTTATCGGAAACTCAACTGCAATGTGATAGTTATCTTTAACGCTTGAAATAATGAAAGGTATAAATTTGATATAATTATTAAGAAGCATTCCACAATATAAATGTAGATTTACTCCGCGTGATGTTTACGTAATTCTCACTATGTTAATGTTGATATAAACATCAATAAACAGAAGATGTAAATTTAACACACTAGAAATGTAAATTTAACATTGCGGTTTTTAGTACCCATAGTCTTAATTCCACATTATGTTTATATATCAACATGGGAAAAATACGTAACTGCGTATATGTATAAACTCCGATGTTAAAGCTATATTTTTTTAGAGTAAATAAAAATAATTATCAATCGCACAAAATTCAAAAATATAACAAACTAACCCACGTTTTACTTTTCTACGAGTATTCGTACTCAAATTCTAGATATTAAAATTCTTTCGCGCAAGGCATCGCAATTCTCCTGCAATTAATGCTCTTGCAATTAAAGTTGGGGCTAAATTAAGTTTCACGAATTTAATTTTCTCGGCTCTAAGATTCATTTCGAGTTGGGATATCGGAAAAAATGGCTTAGACCCGCTGTTGCATCTGCGAAATTGTTCCCATTGCACTTTCGCGCAGTCTCGCGATTGCATTGTTATCGTCGCGTTTACGCAGTGCGATAACGAGAAACGGAACAACCATCGTCAACGTATGCGATATTATTCGCACAAGGATCACTGTGCCTCTCGCGTTTATGTCGGCTTGAGTGCCGTTGATTGAATAAGTGGATCTCACGCGCGGTTGGCGTCGTCGCCACGACTTCCTTCTTCTCTTTCTACAGCCGCGCTCGCGAGTTCTCTTCTCGGTAATTTACCATCCCTCAAATCACAGGGAGGCAACCGGAATTTTGCAACGTTCCTTCCTCAGTCACGCCCGTCATCTATTTTCCTGCTCCACTTCCGCGTGTCACGAAGCATGCTTAATTATCGTCGGAAACGACGTTAACGCCCAT